TGGCTATCACTTTGATAGTTCATATTAGAGATGAAGTTGTTGCAGGAAGTTCATTTAGCTTATAAGATGGCTTGCCTTAGGACAGATGATTGTCGTATCCAGGCTTGTACGTCTTCTGTTCTTCCAGTCTGATCAGCAGTGTTGAGAAAGGCAACCCGTTTTCTTTTTAGTTCCTCAAGGTGTTTAGACCAAAACACTCGATAGTATTTAGTCTTGCCTCTGGGAATAGTTTTCTTTGGACATCTGATCATAATATATGATATCGTTGCAAAGTTTGTCAGGATGTTGGTTGAAGTTGAGGGGACTTGTGTGAAGTTCACTCCCTAAAAGGTTAGTGAATCTAGACAAGTCAGCCTTCTTGAAGTTCCATGATATCTTTGTTGGCACTTTCCGTGTCATGCCGATGTTAATACTAGCAATGATTAGTTTGTGACCAGAACCAGGATCGTCAATTATTTTGCAGCGTGTATGCTCTCTGATGTCGCTTGAAGCCAAAAGTAAGTCAGGTGTGGGTTCTCTGGTTCCATTGTAGTGCAAATATGTAGCCGGATCCTCATTGCTATCTCAATGAAATATGTAGCCGGATCCTCATTGCTGTAAATAAGTTCCACAGGGTTGCTGTTTAGCGTGTCTTCTATTTCTTTTCCAGCTATATTTGCATCCCTGTAGCCTCATCTAGTGGAATGGGCGTTGAAGTCTCCTATTTCTACAGTTTTGTGTGAGGTGTTCAAAAAGTCAAAGTTTGACAATTTTGAGGTGGATTATAGACTGCATATATCTTGAAGTGGTTTTGACATATCCAAACATTTAATCTGATTATTTCACATATGTCTGTGTGTCGAGCCCATACTCTTGATTAGATCGTAGTGTGAGGTGAGGCCTTCTTTTACTCCAGTTAGAATTCTACTTGCAACTTGCCAGTATTTTGGTAGATTGTACAGGGTTTAACCTGGGAATTGGTAGTACTTCAGTTTGTCATCCGAAATGTTTGCTTCCATAATTGTGAAAATGTCTACATTATAGGTTTGTTGGATTTTCTGGACTTGGGTAATTGTGAAAATGTCTACATCATAGGTTTGTAGGATATTCTGTACTTGGCCCTTTGTCAGGTTTGTAGGATTTTCTGTATTTGGATCTTTTTGTCCGTTACATTCCTCCAGCATTCCACTGGAGGATCTGAAGACATTGGTGTAGGATTTTCTTGACTTGGATCTTTTTGTCCTGTGACATCCCTCCAGCATTCCACTGGAGGATCTGAAGACGATGTTATTGGCAGCATTCCACTGGAGGATCTGAAGACATTGTGATTCGCCCCTTCCACTGGAGGATCTGAAGACGTTGTGATTCACCCTGACAAGCACTGGAGGATCTGAAGAC